TGGGTCTACAAACCTCCGAGGAAAGAGTAAAGTGAAGCCGAGATGCCGCCGTTTGGTCCTTGTGCGCGACGGAGGCCGAATTCTGCCAGTTCTTTGGACTCTCCTACGGCCAATCGTATTCGGGCAGCGTTTGTAGTAACCAGACTACACAATTATAAGAAAGACGCATGAAAGGTAATGTACAGAGTACCAGAAGCTGCAGCGTCTAGCTAACAAGAACGAGTAGTGATTGAAATGCTTGCTTCGCCATCCACTGTCATTGGACAGCTTGCTGCGAGTAAAAGAACGACACTGACAGAAATCCCTTTAAGTACGTAGTCGTAAACTATTAGGTGGCATGTGTGTACTTTCAAAACACATATTGAACCGTACTGGTAACCCAAAATTAATGTTTTAATGGACGCAGACAAAGTTGTCAATGTCATTCGCAGCCGGTGGTGTTTCTCGTTGTTTCGCGTGGCATTGCAGCCCGAAATTATAACAGCTGGCATAACTCATGAAATACCGTGATCAAAATTTGACTGGCACACATTTGATGTTCATATAAGCGAACCTGCGGTTCCCAGGAAGTAATTTATAAAAAGAAGACTTGATCGCTATGCAAATACCGTCAGATAATTGACAAAGAAGGCGTAAGTTCCTTGAAAAGGAGTATAAAAAATACTGTATCTTAAATTTTTTCCATAAAATATATTTGAATTTATAAAGGCAGCCAAATTAAAGGATAAAAATGCATACCACTTAAGTGGCCACCTTTTACAGTGCATACGTTTCGTTAGTTGTCAGAACAAAGCTCGTTAAAATGCTAGTATCCTATCGTGACTGAAATGATTTCAGAATATACTACACGATGATCAGAATTACAAACTTACTCAGTGCCAATTAGCGAGAGACTATCAATCTTTTGCACATGTCGGCATGTAACACGAATTCTAGGCCGTATTGTATATAAAGAGAGATCGACATTACTGACAAACACAAGAGAAGGCGAAGAATGCGGGCAAATTTATACAGTTTCTTTTGCCTTCACTCAGCTTATCATAACCCACACTGCCAGCTGGGACCGGAAACAGTCTTGCTTTTCTTAGTCGGTAATGTCACACACCTATCATCTTCGCAGACAATACCAATTTCTCTCGTTAAATGTCAGCATCCCCACGTCACACCCCTAGAGTTGCTCACAGCGTTGCGTTCTCAACCTTCTCCCATTCCAGATGGGACCTTCTCTATATATAACGCCCTGCTCTTGTCATATACTTTTTACCTACTACAGTATGGCGTGTGCTGCAAGCAACATTCTGCAATTTGAAAAATGCCGGTAATCACTCGCAAAACAACATTGCGTAGGGTTGCGATACTGTTTATCGTGCACTTCAATTTCAGTTATTTTCAGTCACGCCAGCATGCCGACTCTGTGATGAGCTTCTTTCTGACCGCTGCGAAAAAGTTGATTCTGTAAAATATGACTACTTAAATAGCATGAATTTTCATCATTGATTTTGACTGCCTCTATAAATTCAAATATATTTTATGGAAAGCATGTACTAAAAAATCCTCTCTTGTACTTGTTTGAGGGCAACGCACGCCTTATTTAAATTTTATTCTTAAAGGAAGGGTTTCCTTCGGTTTTAAAAAATTTCTAATTTTGAGTTTTTTAAGACTGTGTGGTGTTCGTTCATGATACATCGTATCCGTCAATTTAATAACGCTGCTCCTGATATATAAAGCATGGTCCATGTCTATTGCAAAATTCTATGAGAGCTACGCAACTACTTCCTCAAACCGTAAGCAAGAACGCACTTTTCCTTAAACAGGATGAACACAGCACTGAGTTTGCAAAACTTGAATTCAGTTCTAGCAGCCGGTAGGTTTCAAAATCATCCGGCAATGTAGAAACTTTTTCAAGATTCATTTTTTCCGCAGTGGTCAGAAAGAAGCTCATCACAGAGTCAGCATCATAGCGAGACTGAAAAGAATTGAAGTTGGACTGCATGATAAACAGTATTGCAACCCTGCTCAAAGTTGTTTTGTGAATGATTACCGGTCTTTTTCAAATTGGGGAATGTTGCTTGCAGCACTCGTCATACTGTATATGTGCAGAGATGAAGGATGATTGAAATGCGGACGAAAGTACGTAGTCTGTTTCAGGCTTATTTTGTCTTCATTCAGCCAATAATAACTCGGACTACTAGCTGGGACCATAGAAAAAAGCGTGCGTCCGTGTACGGCGTAGATGGTCCAGAAACAAGGTCTACCAGATGCACCATAAATAGCCCATCAGCCTGTCCTATTTTCATCGTTGGCGCCTGCGAAGTTACACACTTGACCCCTGTCCAATGTGTGGACTGCCACATATGATTATTTATTACGCCAACACAAATGCAATTTACGTTCCTGTATGCGCGTTTCGAAAATGCGTCCTATTCAATAAGCCGACCTCGTAGGTCTAGAAAAAATTGAGAGGCTGGTCGGACTGCGGCAGTCTAAAATTATTTGAGTAATTTCGGGTTCGAGCGCCCCATTTCGCTAAATTATAGGTGGGTCCGCATTTTAAGGCAAACATTGTCTGCCGTCGAACATTTCGTTTGTGGAACTTGACTAGGCTGTAGAATCGGAACAGATCAG